TCTAATATTGAAGAAAAATGCAATCATCGCATGCAGCATAAATTCGAAGGAAGCGACCATTGCTTATCAAAATACAATAACTCCAAAAACTTTTAAAGCCCGAATCGATTCCATATGAAATGATCGGAGATCAAGTAAATGACTTAGGAAGAGGCGAGATTGAGAGAGAAAGAGGGATCAGAGCACAATCGGAGGCCGTACCAGGAGTTGGTGGCGTACTCGTAGAGATTTCCCTTGCTGGAGAAAGATGATCAGCGCCACGTTGGCGCCGCAGAGGACGGAGATCTCATGCGCTTTCTTAAACAACCCCACCCGCCTCTTCGAGAAAGTCAGTTGCACGCTGCCTCTCCCCATCGATCTACACCGCCTCTCCAAGACCCTAATTCCAAATCGACGAAACGGAGACGAAACCAAACGGATGTCTAGGAAGAAATGGGGGCTGAGGACGAATATACAAAGGACTTTTGAGAGGGGTGGCCGATACGAAAAACTGTTTTTCGCAAATAACTGCCTGAACAATTTCATTTAGGTTTGGCCTTTTTTAAAAATTGCAAAATTGCAAAAACAACAAAATTTGTAATATTATATTATAATATATATATATATGTTGAGAAAATTTAGTTTTTTTCAAACAATTTTTTTTACTAAGATTTTGATATATAAAATCTATGTTATATGTTATAATATTTATTAATATTATTTAAAATTTCACTTAAATAAAATATCTTTTTTTTAAATCATAACATATCCTTCATTTTTAAAAAAATAGATATATTTTATTCCTATATCATTGTAATTCAAATTCATCTAAGACATTAATAATTTGTTTTTTATATTGTGTTATATATATTAATGTCTAGTATATATTATAATTAATTATTTTTAATTAACTTTCTAATTCCTAAAAAAAATTATTTATTTATTTTGTAATTTATTATATTATTTATTATTATTATTATTATTATTATTATTATTATTATTATTATTTGGCATGTTAGAATACAAATAATAGACAAAGAGCATATCATTTAGTGTTGCAAGAAAATTACAAACACAATTAAGTTGAGAACAACATATAAAGATTATATTTTTTTTATAAAACTTAGAAAGAGGAGGAAATCATCACTCCTATCCAAATTGGAATAACTTAGATAGTGCAAGTTAATGATTGTAACATATGTTTTCTCATATAGCAATACAATGTAATAGAGATGAACTTTAAAACGGTCATATATGGTGCATTAGTAAAATCTTTTAGGGTGTTTGAATTATCATTCTGCAACAAGTGTCAAGTAAGAGTTGATGATGGGCAATAATAGTTGAGAGTCAAAGGGCAATGGACTCAATGGTTATGTTTATAGTAGTAAAATTGAGTGACCTAGAAAAAATCAGTGGCTAATAGATCTTGAAAGTTGATCATTAGCAAGCATCAAATAATGATTGAAATAACATGTCAAAAGTCTGAAGATAGTAGATAGTTAACTAGGTTATTCTCTTAACAAGTGGGAGATCATGAAATGGAAAAGGCATCTTCTTCAAATGATTGTTGACAAATGCCATATGTTAAATTGAATGCACCCATATTGTCAATTATTAGCAAAAATTGGGTGCAAATTGAAGAGGAATGTCATTAGTTAGGAAAAGAAAAGTACTCAATTTTCTTATTCTCTTAATAAGAGTGGAAACTAAGTAATGATGAGACATGCATCAATTGTTAGTGGATATTAGCATCAAATATGAATCATTAGCAAACATTACATGTAGCTTGACAATGTGATATTGAAAGCCGGATAATAGAGGAAGATAAACTAGGTGACTCTTCCAATAGAAAGGGAAACTAGGCTGTTAAAAAGATGAGCATCAAGTATCAGTCACTGACAGATGTTAAATGTTAGAAAATGGAAAATAATGGGGATGTTAGAATTTCATGCAATAATTGATGATCATTTTAGTTGGTTTTTTCTAAAACCAATCCTCTAGAAACTAATAAGATGAACTTTTGACATTAATAATGGGCGATTGATGTTGGATGATGTTCTTCACATATAACATCAAACAACATCTTATATGCTCATAGGTTCCAACCTTTATGAGCTGCCAAAGAAATAACATTTTTGTAGTTTCCATTCTAGCAATAGAAGAAAATACTTCTTCATAGTCAATACATTCCTTTTGCTTATAGCCATTGGCTACCAATCAATCTTTTTTTTACTTTTTTTACTTCATCCCTTTTGATCTTGCAGACTCATTTGACTCCAATGGAAATCTTCCCTTGGGGTACATAAATCTGCAAACTCCTAAGTTTCATTCTTCTTGATCGATGTGATCTCTTCATGCATGGCTTGTTTCCATTGTTCATCTTTTGAAGAATCTTCATATGAGAGGGTTTCGGTCTCTATAAACAAACAAAATAATGTAAAGTTTTCAACATTTCGAGGTACCTTATATATTTCATTCAAGTTCCTTGCCTTTTGATGATTTGGCCTCTCTTCATTAGTGAAATGTGGAATTGTATTGCTAGTGTTTGCATCGTCTTTAATGGTTACTATCTCATTGTCTTTGTTTCCACTTTTCCAATACCATTCTTCATTTTCTTTAAATTTAACATTTTTGGATATGACTTGCTTCTTCTCTTCTGTATTATATAACTTATAGTCTTTGCTTCTTTGGTAATAGCCAATGAGAATCATCTTCTTGCTTTTATCTGCTACCTTGCTTTCTGCAACAACTCCAGTTCTTAGTACATAGGTTATGCTTCCCCATACCTTGAATGGTTGACAGATGGTTTGTAACTAACCACTCCATGCATTTTGATGTGTCACTCCTTTAAGTGCTTTAGTGTCGCATTTATTTGAAATGTAGCAAGTAGTCTCAGCAATAGCTGCCCAAAATTTATGTGGCATATTTTTACTTCTTAGTAGAGATCTCACCATCTCCATGATACTTCTATTCTTCATTTCTACTACTTCATTTTGTTGGGGTGAATGAGGGTTGCTCAGCTGTCTCCTTATGTCATAATAACTACAATATTCATAAAACTCCTTTAATAGATACCACCTCTATCACTTTCTTAGACATTGTATCTTTATACATGTTTCATTCTCCACCATGATCTTGAAACTCTTGAAGGTACTAAAAGCCTCATTTTCATTATTTAGAAAGTATATCCATGTTTTCCAACTTAACTCATCTATGAAGGTCATGAAGTATTTATTGCTTCCGATTGATGTGGGATTTAGAGGCCCACATAAATCAGTATGTATTAACTGTAGAACTCTACTTGCTCTCCATTGTGATTCTTTTGAATATGAAGCCCTAGTTATATTGCTTAATGCACATGATTTACAGCATTATTGAGGATCATCAATCCTACGAGGAAGTCCCTTCACATTTGCTTCTCTTTTCATCTTCTTCAAGATTTCAAATATGATATGGCCAAAGCGATGATGCCATAACCAACTTTCATTTGAGACATAATAGTTTTAAGAAACTTCAACCTTTTTGTCTTTAGATTCAACATGAATATGAGTTGAGTCATGATCACCAAGGTAACTAGGATTAGCTTCCAGCCCCCTCATATTAGGAGAATAATAAATCAAATTATCCGCAATGTTATTTATTTTAATGCTTCATATTGACCATCACCTGTCACGTATTAAAGACCAACAATAATGTCTATTAAACACTTATGTATAAAGCTTATCTTTTGATATGTTGGCCTTTCTCTGTCACTTGATCTCTCCTCTCACATGGAGAATGACTAAGCCAAAAACTTATCTTCACCCGACTTCTTATGTTCTTCATCAACGATCACATCACCCATTGATGGCCAACATCTAAGGTTAATTAGCAACTAACATCAAGTGCTCATCTTCTAGACCACCTTATCTCCCTTTCTATTATAAAATGACCAAGCTAACTACTACAATTGATGATGTATAATATTCCCCATTAATCATTACCTTACAATTATCAATTCCCGAGGTTTTATAGGTTCTATGTTTGTTTGTCACCAATATTTGAAGTTTGTAATCCATGTGGTCTTATCTTCTCTCTTATAAAAAGAATAACCAAATTGTTCGTCTATTATCACCCAACTTTTGACAATTCTCGTAGAACATTGTTTGATGTATAATGTATAGATTAATGTCAGCCATTCATTAGCAACTGATGTTTAACGCATGTTTTCTTGATTACTATAGTCTCCCCACTTATTTGGAGAATGATCAAGTTAATCATCTATATTCATTAATTTTAATGCTTCATAGATTATCGTTTAACACTTGTTAAAGAATGACATTTAACATATCATAGCATCCCATGTTCAATGATAGTTTTCATGTCAGAACTCAGATGTCGTCTAGCTAGAAGTTGTATTGAATTCTGGCGTCGAGCAGAATTCCAGCGTTAAGTAGAATTTTGACGTCGAATAGAATTCCGGCGTCACTCGGACGTTCAGCCGAATTCAGGCGTCGTCCAGGCGGCAGGAAAAACTCTGGCGGTAGTCGAGGAGGAGCTGTTTTCTCCTATCCTTCTCTTCTCTTCTTTTTTTCTTCTTCTTGGGGGTCCCATCTCATGAGAAATGATGGCTCTATTTATAGATTTTCTGGAGTGGCTTAGCTTGTAAATAGGTGTGAGATCAAGGGGCAAATAGGGAGTGATTGAATGGACGACTGATATTGAATCCTTTGATCATACACCGTTCGTCAGATATTTGAAGGTCTTAATGATGTCGGAATTTTGTGATCTTGGGCTTGTTGGATTCGTCAGGTCGAGCCGCTCGATTTGATTATAAGATCATCAAATTTGGAGACCGTTTGGTAACTCAAATTGTGATACGAACTTTACAATAGCACTTCAGGTGCTCGATTTGGGCTCATTTGGGCTCGGATTGAGTTGAATTTGGTGTGTTTGGTTCGTATTTCCAACGCGATCAGTTTGACTACAAGTTTGTTGAAATCGGAGTTCAAATGATCCCAGATTTAATTTTTGAAGTTTCCAACTTAGTTTTCGCCTCGAGATTCGTGCCCGATTAAGATAATTTTTTGATGACATATCAATTGACCCATATCTTCTAACGTCGAAGCTCCAAGAGTCCGAAAATACTTGTTCCAAAATTTTACATTGGCCGAATCACAAAAATTGTGTTCCAAAAGTTGAACATTTGAACAAATTTGTTCATAGAGGCCCCGTTAAGCTCTAAAAATGTTGAAATTGAGTTTGAAACATCAAAAAACGTGTCCGATGACCCCAAAAATATCATATTTGGACCGTCCTGGCTGAAAATAGGGCCCTGCACAAGCGTGGGCGGCCCGAACCGACCGGCCCTGGCAGCCGCCGCCCCAAGCGAGACGCCAGCTATGCGCGCCGCGAGCGAAACGGCGCATCTCGCGCAGTCTGGCG